CCCAGAGGTCCTATGTGCTAGTAAGAAAATCAGAGTGTTTCCTCAGCGCTCCCCGCGGTCCACGTCCCGGAATTGGTGTCACTCCCAGAAATGTCTCGTATCTTCCTTAATTCTCAATTGCTCAAAGGAAAAAGGCCGAGTCCCCAGGCCTGGGGGCTTCAGGGGTCGCACAGTGCTTGGCATACATAGGAGCAGAGGGGCTTGGAGACGGGCACGTTGGGGAGGCAGGAGGATAGAGCGGGTCTGAGACTGGGGCACGGGACCCCGTGGGCCCTAGGGCCCTATGGAAGCTGAAGCTGGGCAGGCTCCGGAGACCCGGATCGTTGGGGCTCAGATCACCACTGGCGTCAGACGCCACTCTGGGAGCAGCACATCGACATGTTCGAAGTGCACACCGCTTTACCGTGTCCACGGAGAAGGACAGGGCTCCCTTTGATCCTATCTTGTCTGCTGCCTGGGGTGGACACTGACACTCTTGCCTGTGGCGCTGGCCCATGCCTGGGGGACCGGGACTCACCTTTCAAGGGGGGTGTGGGGACAGGGAATTAGGGATCTAGGTTCAGGGCGCTCCAGTCCAGGGAAGTGTATAGCGAGACGATGCTGGACGCCCTCCGGCCGCCTGGATTCTTCGAAGGCGGGTGGAAAATCCAAGAAGCATCGGAGAGCCTCAGAACAGCCTTCAGAGCCGGTCCAGGGGTACTGCTCAGCCAGGAGGGGGGCGTGACCTTCCCTTTTCGCCCCAGCGTCGCAGAGGCGGAAGTCTATTTTGTAGAGGCGGAAGTCCTCCAGGAAGCCCCACGGAGGGTTGGGGGCGGTCTCGCGCCTGCGCTGTACGTAGTCGCCGGGAGGCGGAGTCGCGCAGGCGCCTCGGGTCGTAGGCCGCGTTGTTCCTGGCGGCGCTTCCAGATGGTGCTGCGGGCCGGTGTTGCCCGCGGTTGGGCGGTAGATGCTGAGGAGCCCAGGTTGCCAAGGTCCTGGGGCAGCCCGGGAGGTGCGCGGCCGTCCAGCGAACTGAGGCTCCGGCGGAGGGTCGCGGGTGACACCGCGGTGCAAGAGGGCCGCTGAGGGCGCGTCCTTCGGCCGTTCCCGGCCGGAAGCCCCGGGAGAGGGCGAGGGAGAGCGGCGGAGCCCGGGGCGGGCCCGGAGGGACGGCCTGCGAGTGCGCGCTCGCGGCCGGAAGCCCCGCTGTCGCCGGGTGGGGCCCGAGAGCAGCGTGACGTGCGGGCCGTGAGGCCTCGTCCCGAACGTCGCGCGAGCGCCCGGCACAGGTCAGACGCTTCGCGGACGGCAGCCGGGCGGGCGGCAAGAGGAGCGCCGCGGACAGACGGGCTGACAGACACTCGGCCTCCTCAGAGCGCCCACGTCGGAGACGCCGCTCGCGCCGCCGCAGGGCGCTTCGGGCGTGGAGCCGAGGGGAGCGGAGCAGCGTCCGTCGGGCAGCGCGGAGGACCCTGAGGAGCCGCTCGGGCTGTCGCGGCGAGCGAGCGGTGCCGGCCGCCGTCGGGCGCTGGTGGCCGGGAAGGGCCCGCCGTTCGAGGCCCGGCCCGGGCCGGCCCTGCCTCGTCGCCGCTGCTGTGGGCGTTGGCCGCGCCCGCCGTGAGCTTGGCGGGCCTGGTGTGCAAGGGGCGCCGTCGGCCCGCGGGTCGGGAGCTTGCCGTGGCGGCTCGGGGACCGGCTGGCTCTGGGTCCTGAAGGGGACCTGCCCCTCTCCGGAGCGCGCAGATGGAGGCGGAGGCGGGGCGCCGCGGCCCGGGCGTGTTTTCGTGCCGGCTCTGCGCGCTGACCGCTCCCTACAGCTACGTGGGGCCGACGCCCCCCGACGCCCGCGCCGTCGTGTGAGTCCTCCGGCTGCCCGCGCGCCGGGCCGGGCTTGGGGGGGGCGCCGCGCCCCGGTGTGGCGGCGGCTGCGGTGTCGCGTCGTGGCCCCACCGCGCCTGGTCTCTGGACGCTGCAGGAGTGACCTGCCGAGGCGCGGGGCAAGGCTCCTCCAGAAGCTCCGGGCCCCTTGGGGAGCAGCGCGTGCTGCGGCGGCCGGCCGGGGGCGCCGTGCTTCGGGCCGCGGCCGCTCCCCACCTGGGCGGGGTCCGCCGCGGCCTCTTCGGTGGGGCTGGGCCACGTCGCCGCTCGTCCCGCTTGCTCGGGGACCTTCTCAGTGGGGAGCCTTCCTGCCCTCTCGCTCTGAGGGGACTGAGCCCTCGGGTCCAGCTCCGGTGGATCTGCCCGGAATCAGCCTTGCGCCAGCCGCTGCGTCCTGGGGCTTGGTCTGCACCTCTGAAGTGCCCCTCGCCGGAGGCCGCGCGGGGGGAGGCCGGCCACACGCTGCCCACCGGCGCGCCGCTGCCACGGGCCGGGTGGCAGGCGCCGAGGCTGGCTTCCGGGCGGGCTCCTCTGCTGACCCGGAGCCCGGGTGTCCTCGCGGGGCCTGTGGGTCTCGGATGTGCGGGCGCGGCCAGCGTCGTGGGCAGGGTGTGAGGCGCCCCGGTTCTCCCTGCGTGCTGCGGCGGGGCCCGGAGCGCCGGGACGGAGGCTGTGCTCCCGGCGCGCGTCCCAGCGGGTGGAGAGCGGTCTGGGCCCGGGCCGCAGCAGCCGGCCTGCCCGCGCCGAGCAGCGGTTCCCCCGCCACGGCTGGAACGCGGGTTCCAGCCCGCTGCCCGCGGCTTGCCTTTCTGCTCCCACCCGGGGCCACGGGGGACTGGCCCCTCCGCTCATGAACCCACCGGGTGTGCGGGCTCTGGGGAGGTCCGTTCCGAGCCGCTGCCAGGCTGCCCTCGGCAGAGGCTGCGGCCGTTCTGACCTGGGCGTCGCGCACTGTCCTGCAGCCTCCTGGAGGAGAGTTACGTCCTGAAGGACCCGTTCACCTCAGACAAGGACAGGTTCCTGGTCCTCGGCTCCAAGTGCAGTGTGTGCAGCCGGCTGGTGTGCGTGGGCCCGGTGGGTAGCCTGTGTGGGCTGAGGCCGCGCCTCTCCCTCCCTCCCCCTCCCGCCCCCCTCCCGTGGCTGGGACCCCACGCTTGATCGTGGGAAATGTGACGTGTGAGCCTTCCCCGGGGACAGTGTGAGCGCCACCCTCTCCTTGCCATGATCCTAGGAGCCCTGCCACGTGGCGTGGTGGGAGGCCCGGGGTTCTTGGAGGCCAGCTGGTGCCGCTCATTATGGATGAGTCCTGCAGCCAGCAGAGGTGAGCAGACAGGCAGGGGTGGGCGGGAGCTGGTCACACGGTCGCAGTGTTGGCCAAGCGGTGGGTGCTGACGCTTCTCCCTCTCCCAGCCGTGCCAGCGGCCATTGTGCTTCTCTCCGTGGGACGGTGACCTTCTTCCTACTTGTCCTTGGAGGGACCTTCCAGAGGAAGGAACTGTGCTTACGCGAGCAGTTGTTGCGGGTCAGGGCCTGTGCTTGGGGCCCGTTTTCCCAGGGCAGATTCCTTCGGTCCTGCCCCAAACCCTAGCTGTGCAAGGTAGCATTGCCCCCATCTCATAAGCGAGGACACGGAGGTTCGAGAGGCCGAGGAGGCCCAGGACACCAGGGTAGTGAGCTTGTCATTGGACAACCCAGGGGCGGGTGGAGGCGGAGCCCTGTGGCTGAGTGCTGTGGCCCCTGTAACCCGAGTGACGGGGCCGGCGGCGGCCCCTGGGCATTCCGCTAGGGGGCAGAGTGTGGACAAGGCTGCTGCCTCACAGACCAGGTTTAAACATCAGCCTCTGTCCCCGAAGGGTCGGGGGGATGAGATTTGATGGGGTGAGACGAAGCCTTGGCAAGGCAGAGGCCCGCATGTTCGAGGACACGGGGTGGCATGTGAGGACTCAGCGGGAAAGAAGCAGCTGGGCAATGCAGACTGGAAAGGGGAGTTGGGCCGGTGGGGGCAAAGCCTTGAATGCCACACTTACCCGTTTGGGCCGCACTTGGTGAGCAGAGGAGAGGGTGCCCTGTGTGGTCTCCGAGGTCTCCTGTGTTCTTGGAAGAAGTTCTTGGTGGGTGGCGAAGTCCCCTCTCTCACGTGGGAACAGCTTTTCTCTGAGTACTACAGGAAGGACAGCCTTGTCTCAGCTGAGGCGCACCCTGAGCTGCTGCAGCAAACAGACCCCCAAAATACAGTGGCTGGATTGCGACAGTCTTCACTCACTTTCGTATGTGTAAGCGTCCAGAGCAGATGGCGCCACAGCCATTCTCAAAACACAGCACAGCCAGTGGCAGGAGGGGCTGGGAAAGTAGTCTTTGGACGGGGCCCGGGCAGTGAATCCTAGGGGTTGCGTGGCAGAGGATGGGCGCAGGGGACAATGGCCGTGGTTGGACAGATCCGACCTCCTGCCCAGACCAGCCGCTCGCCGGTGGCCGTTTTGGTCTGTGGAGCTGTGCCCAGCACCGGTGGTCACCAAGCACCTGTTGCACTGCTGTGATAACCAGGAGAGGGAAGGACCTAGGATCTCTGACAGGTTAGGTGTGGCCCGGTTCCATCTTCTCATTGTTTCTGCGTTACCTGTGGTGGAGCGCAGTAGTCCCCAGAGTGTGTCTGCGCCATCCAGGCCCTCCCACCTGGGTTGACCCAGGCCTGCTTGCCGTGTTCTCTCCCACATCTTCACCAGTCTCACTGGGTGATTCCCACATGCTCAGGAGCCCCCCGATACCCCACTGCTTGCAGGGGCTGGTGGGGATGCCTTACTGCTTTCCCCTCCCTGGAGGCCCTCCATTGTCTCTGTCTTAGGTGATGACTGCATTCTTGGAGGTGGCTGGCTAGTCCCCGGGCCGCGCTCTCCCTCCTGCTGTTCTGGCCTTGGCCGCCACCTCCCTGACACAGCTGCCCCTGCCCTGTACCCCCTGCCCCCAATACGTGGTGAAGGACTAGCCTCTGGGAGAAGTTGCACCCCCCCTGCTCTGTGGTACTTAGTCCCTGTCCTTCCCCTGCCCTCTTTCAGGAATGCAGTTTATTCTACTCCAAGAGGTTTTGCCTCCCCTGTGTCCAGGAGAACATGGACGCCTTCCCTCAGGAAATCCGGCAAGACTTGGAGAAAAGGAAAGCTCCATCAAAGAGGCCGGCCAGCCAGCCTGGCTCTCGGACATGAGTGCAACCGGATGCCAGGTTGGCAAGAGCACCTTGCACAGAGCTCTGGGGCCGAGCTGGGAGCCGTGGTGCCCAGCCTTGTTCCGGGACAGGCAGGAGCAGTGTGTGCAACTGGAGTGAGCTGGGGCCCAGCCTGCCCCAGGAAGGTGACTGGGAGACGCAGAGAAGGCACTCAAAAGGCAGACCTTGGACCAGACATCCCCCAGACCCAACCCCATCCAGAGCCCTCTCGATGCTGAGACCGCAGGGCAGGAACTGAGGAATGGCTCAGAACTGGCACAGAGGGAGGCCAGGGCTGGGCCTGCTGGCCCTTTGGCTCTCCTCCCAGACCTGAGGGCTCTGGGCCTGCCTGCAGGGTCATCCCCTGGCTCCTGCTTACAGGCGACAGACCTGGAGGGGCCTTTATGCCCTTCGCATGATTTCGTCAGATCCAGGAGTTGCCTCCAGGTAACATGCTGCTCTGCCTGGCCGAGGACACAGGAGTGAAGGGACAAAGCCCACTGCCCTGGTCCAGTAGGGGGAGGCCCTCTGGTCACACTGGGGGGTTGTGCTGTCCGTGCAGAGGCAGGACAGCTGGGTGGGGACTCTTGCTTTCTCCATCCAAGGAAGTGAGTGTTCATGCAGGGAAGACCTCACTCAGTCAGATGGTTCACAGGGAAGTGACCTGCAGGAAGGTGCCTGAGGTGTGTGGGGGAGCTGCAGATGCAACTGGGGGGTCCAGGGGCGGTGGAGTTTCACTTCACATCCTTGTGGTGCTTGGAAAACGTTTTAAATCTTGACCACGCGTTAGATCCGTAATTAAAAACCCAGAGAGCCAGTTAATGTTTTGAAAAGTAATCCTTCCCCAGAAACATTTGCGAGGCAGATGTCCTCCTTGGCACTCTGGATCTGGTGTGGGTCGGGGGCTGGGGTGTTGCCACATGAAGCCTCTTCTGTCCTGTCTGTCCCGCAGGCTCTGGCTCTGGCCCCAGGCCCAGTCCCATTCCAAGGCAGAGCAATGCCTTCCCCTGCCTTCCCTTTGCTCACATAGAGGCTCACAACTTGAGGTGCTGGCTTGCCCCTCTCCACAGGGGACCCCGCATCAGCTCTGCAGGCTCCTGTAGGCGGCCCCAGGGCACTCATCCCCCCACAGATACCCCTGCCCTGTGGCCTCCACCTTCGCCATGGGGGACACACTGAAGGGTGCATTTGGCTCTGCTGGCTCTCAGAGGGCCGGAGCTGTTCTATCTTTGTCCGTAACTGCCTGAAGGTCCGCTGACGCTGTCCTGGGGGGGCGCCAGACGAGGGTTTGAGAAGAGAATGAATAAAGAGCTTCTATTGGCTGATGGGTGCACTGGGTTTTATTTTCAGATGCTTCCCCTGCGTCGCATTACTTTAGACAAATGGCTGTCATCCTGGGGCCACAGGATGTCCTAGGTCCATTCTGTGCGCCAGAGGACAAAAGGACTAGAGGTGAAGACCCATGGGGGAGTGGGGTGCGGGCTGCTCTGGGCCGAGGGCAGATGCTACAGCCGGGGACTCAAACTAAACGTTCATCTCATGGCATCACTCAGAACTCACCAACTAATTTTAAAAAATAGTTTTATTTTTTAAAACCATTAAGGCAACGCTGTACCCTGAAATTAAATCCTTACATTCATCAGTCTTACAGTAGGACATTCCAAAGCTGTACATTCCCATAAATTCAGTATATAAATCAGCATACATGATCAGTTCAATCTCCTAGCAGGAAACAATAAGACCGAAGATTTTTTAAAAATTAAAAAGTTATAGTCATTTTCTAATTGCTTGGAACCGCTATTGGTTAATGTGACTCGGAAGATTCCATTTGCTCTTCTGTGCACACCCCTGCTCCCTGAGGCCCTGGATGCCCCCTCCGCCCAGACCCAGAGAGAGGCCCCCAGAACCTGCTCTAAAAGATCTCCTTTGGAACTGCTCCTGTTTAATATGAAGACAAGGGGTCTACCAGCCCCTGAAGACTTGGAGAGTATAAAGCACCAAAGAATGGTAACGATAAACACACCAAGAAACCAAGCTCAGTCTTGCTTTGGAAATCTGCACCCATCTAATGTTCTGACATGTGTCGGTCAGTTGCTCTCAGCACCATAGCCCTGTGGACATCAAGAAGTTCTGCTGAGATACTGAGAATGACCCAGGGGGACTCCCGGGGCCCGTAGTTTCTGTTCTATGCTTTAGGCTGGGCCATCTGGGCGTTGTCAGAGAACCAGTGGTGCAAATATCCCATCCGAAGATTTTGGATTGCCCGAGTACTTTGGTAATAACCCACAGGTAGTAATTCCCTGAAGAGCAGACTGCGACCCACGGCCCAGGAATAGTTCAGGTCTTCATCAGGATACTGCTGGGGGCAGTAAGTGACTCTGGACCTGGGTCTCTGGCCCCCTTGCCGGGAGAGACGGTGAGGACAGACTCAACTTGTGCTTGCATGTGAGGCACGATGAGGGGAACAGATTTATACAGGGAAATAAACTGCATGGCTTGGGAGAGACAAAAAGCTGTGTGTGTGTGCGTGTGTGTGTGTGCGTGCGCACATGTGTGTGCGATCGTATGTCAGTTATATTCCAGCATCCTTTGTGTTTCCGGTAGGTTCCAAGAGCCAGGCTACTAAGAGTATATGTCAACTAATACTGATTTCAAAAGAATCCAAATCTTTGTTACTAGATGCATGATTATAAGTTAGTAAAATATTTATACTATTTCTTAAACTTGAATCCTAGTATTTAAGATATAGCTACAAACAGTTCTATGTACCATACAGTGTAGGAAAAATAATGCTCAAACGCAAATACTGTGACCTTACTGGAAAGGGTACTGAGGGGTATTCATCTATTGTGAGGTAATTTTTTTTTTGTTAATTTGTTTTTAGGCCTGAAAAAAGGCAGACTGTGCTTTTTAAGAGAAGATAGTTTCCAAAAGTGAATGATTTTACTTTGGAAAGATTGGTCACTTGCTTATCTTCAAGGCCTGAAGCTTGACCTCCCTGCCCTGAGAAGGCCATGCTAAGGCTGGAGGACGCCTCCAGGCCCAGAGCCCTCCCCTCGGGGCTCACCTGGGTGGGTGGCTCACGGAGGGGGGCGGGTCCCTGCGCTGGTCTGCACAATGCTGCAGTCTGTTGAATTAACGAATTAAGGAAGTTTAGATGTTGGGTGTGAGGAGAAGGGTAAGGGAGGAGGAGGCTAGTATATTCCCTTCTCTGGAGAAGCACTTGGGGAAGTTCTTCACACCTGACCCAAACTAGAAAACAAATTAAAAAAACCTGATCCAGGTCTTAACCCTATCTCTGACATTAAAAAAAAAAAAATTAGATTTTTTTTCTTTTATTTTGGCAGATAATGCGCTGAACAGCTAGTGGGCCACTGGAGTCCTTGATGTTCCCCATTGCTTCAGTCAAGATGTGACTTTGAACGTGGGTGCAGGTTAGTCTGTTCTGTTTGGCAAGGAATTCCAAAAGGATGTGGCTGTATGTATTTCAGCTGGGCCACATTACATGGTCCCCCCCACTTTCCTGAGGTAGGGTAGTACACAGTGACACTTGTCCTTGTCTTAGACTGAAATGTCGAGAAGCATATGGTCCGCTGAGAGCCCCACGCTAGACCTGAGAAGGCATTCCAGGCCTCATGCTGCAAGGGCAGCTCAGACCGAACCCTGGCCGCCAGCCTCTCACTTGCTGTCCTGATACGTGGGCCACCCCCAAAGCCTTTACAAGCCTCGGCCCACTCCACGGAAGTATTAAGACACCCAGCTGCACTGCACAAAAACAGCATAACGGAGAGAACTCTCTAATTCCTTAAACTGACACATGAAGATTCATTGTCTTTTTTTTCTTCTTCTAAAACTTTCAATATCACCTCTAATTTGCATTGTGGTTTCCAGAGAAATTAATGGATCTCGTCTCCTGAGTCAGACGAAAGTTCACTGCCTTTGTTCTTACTCCAGTGCATGTCACAAGCTGGAGGTCAATGACCATTTTCCTGAATTCTATTAAAATGGCACCTAAATATATATAATATATGTATATATATTTATATCCCAGCAAAAAAAAAAAAAAAAAATAGGCTACAACCTTTGGAGCCTGGCAAGAATCCTTAATCCCAGGGGAACCCTATAAATCAGCTTGGACCAAGAGTTCCAAGTAGCGGGGCCACATTTAAGAGGAGAAGAACAAGCACAAGGGGCCTGGCTTTGGAGCCACCCGGTGCCGGGCTGGGCCGACACTGTGAAGACTCGGTACGTGGGAAAAAGCTTCCACGGACACTTGTTAATAATCAGTAAACTCTCAGTGGGTCGCACTGATTGTAGCTGACGACTTGCACAGCGGGATGTCCTTGCCGTCCTGAATGGAACCACAGCTGTGAACTTAAAGGCTTTAAGCAAGTGACCCCTCCGGGAACACCTGCAGTGCGGGTTGGTTGAAGCGGCGCACCCTCTCTGAACGGGCTTTTGTCAGACATTCCGGAGACGGGGGTGGCCACTGGGTAGAGACCAAAAAAAAAAAAAAACACCAAAAACCAAAAAACAAAAAACCAAAAAACCACAACCATCAGTATGCAGTGGATAGGTATCTAAGGTATCTAAGGTGCTTGGTGGTTTGAAGAAGTGAGGAGGAGGCAGGAAGTGCCCAGAGGCAGCACAGAGGCCCAGGTGCACCTTGGACAGTCACTGCCCAGTTAAGTCGGCCCGGAGGCATCTGCTTCCAGCCTCGTCCAGCAGGGTCTCTCCCTGAGCCAGCTGCCGCGGCCAGCAGCTACAACCGAGGAGCAGGGCGGGTCACTGTGGCCAGTGACTGTTCCCACTTCTTGACCCAGGTCATGCTCCACCTCAGGGCCACCAAACTGGGGCAGCAGCTTCTGCACGTGTGTATCTTGGAGGCACTCTTTAAACTACCAAAGGGTCTTTAAGGGGTCACATGACCTTCCACCTCTCAGTGTGCAATCAAGCAAAGGTGAGTAACTTTGGAATCTTACTCACAAATGATCTGACTATAGGTGCTGCAAAAGGACCCCGAGTGTTTCATGTACCTTAATTTTAACTGTGTCTTTAGATGTACTGTATTGAGGTAGCTGTTATGCTATAGATTTGGGGAAACAGTAGTGGCTAAATTAATAGTTTACTTATCACACATTAAACAAAGGATTCTACTTGTGCCTTGCTTGAGCTTCTGCCCAGATCTTAGGATGCTGCCCTGTCTCTGGAACCCCCACACCATCCTTGAGGCTGTTTGTTTCCTTAGAGTTTCAGCTGGCCCAGTGTAAGAAACGCATCCAAAATGCAGAAAGATATATTCTTGTTCTCAAAACGAGGAGTCCCTTTAAAATAGCTCTCGTAGGCATTCCTGAATGCACTGTGCACCAAGGTTCTTCTCCTGGACTTCACATTCTTTTTGATATATGTACACCTGCTGTTCAGGGAGATGCCTGGAGTGCATCTCATCTGAGAGCTATAAGGCCACAGGGAAACTCGAGAGCAAGGTGGGAAGAAAGCAGCAGCTCACTGGCACTCTGAAGATTCCCAAACTGTCCCTGCCTCCCGCTCATGCTGGTACATTCGCTTGCATGCTGATTTTGAAGATGCTGGGCTTCCCCAAAATGGCCACCAGTGTGCACAGCCCTCAGCGTGGCAGGGGCAGGATTCTGCGTGTGGGACACCCAGCTGGAAGTGCCCAGGAGGACGAAGGGGAGGGACACTGTGGTACTAGGGAGAGAGGGCCAGGCCGGCTCCCAAGCTGGAGCTGGCTGCTGGGTTCAGGAATTGTCCTTGTCAGGCCTACAGACAAAGGGTGTTGGTAATTTTGTGGTTTCTGAGGCATCTGGCACTTGTGGCTACAGACAGTGACTTGTCTAAGGGTGTCAAGGTGATGGCATGGGGAGCTGCATCGCGCGCCCAGTCCCCCAGCAGAGGAGGGGCTCTGTGCCCTGGTCTGAGGCTCTCAAACCTGTTCTGTCAGATCTACCCCACTGACGTCTGCTGAAACCCAGCAGGCAATAAATGTGCTTTAACGAGCCCCTACTGGAAATGCGACAGTATTTTGAACGGGTGAATAATTTGCCCATATCTGACAAATCTGGTCTGAGAAATCTTCGATTAGGTGGCCTGAACATTCCGCATGGCAATCTGTGACTGTTATTTAAAACGAACAAGAATCTGTGATTTTCTTCCTATCTGTACCAGTGAACAAATTTAAGTGACTTTCGTGCCGCAGTCTCTGCAGCCTCCTTTGTGGCCTCACCGGGAGTGTCTCTGGGCGTCTCGCTGGGCCCCAAGAGAGCCAAAAGCTCACTGACACTAGGAACGCAGAACCCATGCCTTC